AGCTTTCTAAAACAGACAGGCGGACAAACGGACGGACATCGCCTACTTTGGTGGGTCTGGCATGAGTATTTCGAGGAGTTACAAACGGAATGACATAGTATGGTGGAGGTTATAAGCCACAAGTAAACAAGTAAAAAAGCAGTTAAGTTCGGCCGGGCCGAGTTTTTTATACCCTCCACTATTTGGAAGGAACTTGAGAATTTTCAGAAAACTTCGGGATTTTTTATCATCATCTATACGAAGATTTTTTCATAGGCTGTAGTACCCATTATCAACTTTAAATACGAAATTTGTTACAATTCCGGTAAATAAGGTCGTACAAATCATAAAAATATCGAGTATTGGGAGGTACCGTCGTATGGGGGCTATACGAATAAGTGGACCTGCAAAAATTGTTGTCATAGGTTGTAGCACGCATTACGAACTTCAAATACGAAATTAGAAATAATTCCGGTAGATAATTTCGCATGTATGCAAAATTTTAGCCTTCTATCTCAATTCGTTCGAAAGATAGCGTGATTACAACAGACAGACGGACATCGCTAGAATTTTACGCTGATCCAGAATATATATACTTTGTAGGAAGTATTATAAATACTTCGAGGGGTTACAAGCGGAATGAAAAAATTAATATAAATATAAAAATTAATAAAATTTATATAGAATGGTAGAGAATATAAAAAGTCGGCCATGCCGAACTTTTAATACCATCAACCATTTTAAAGGAACTTGAAAAATGTCAAAAAAAAATCACTCGAAAATAGGTTGTAGTACCCATTACGAACTTTTCAAAATTACGAATAGAGACGTGGACCTGAATGCTCACTTTGAAACAATTCCGGTAAAAATGTCCCTAAAATCATTATAATACCGAATTTCGTTGTATGGGGGATATACGATATGGTGGACCTACATAAACAATTATTTTTCAGGGGGTAAAGTACCTTGAAGACACTCCTTATGTAGAATTGCAGACAATTCCATTGACAAATGTGACTAAAATCATGAAAATGCCGAATATCGCGGTATCGTTATATCATATAGCCCATCTTCGATATCGATCTGCCTGTAGACAATGGACTGATCTGTGCAAATTTTTTGCTTCCAATCTTAATTCTTTTTGACTCTAGCGTGATTACAACCAACGGACGGACTGGGCTTAATCGTCTTAGAATTTTACGCTGATAAAAATATATATTTGTTGCGTCGAACCAGAAAGTATGAATTTGAATATTTCGCTGTGAAGTTACTGTGAAGGACTTTAGTTCCATCCATACTCCATTTAAAAAAGTGGCAAAAAATAGTTGAAACCTTTTTGCTCTAGCCGTTCGCCCAAGCAAATGTTACAATATTTAACCACAATTGTTCTCTTAGTGTCTAAAATTTCTGAGTGCCTAGAACCTTAAAATCCGAAATTATAGGGTTCTAGATTAACCTTTATATTTTCAAAATATAGTAAGACATTTTAAGAGTGTTTCCTACACCAATAATTTGTAGAAATCGCCATTGTTCATACTCAAAATACAATGAAAAATACATCTGTTTTAAATTTTATTTTTCACAATTCCGAGTTCCAAATTCCCAATAAAATTGAACTGTAATTTTCCTTCGAGTGTAGCGACAATTTATCGCAACAAACTAAGCTCAAGGCTTCAAAACATATAAAGAAAATAAACTCATCTTTGCTCCGGCTCTTCCCTTTCGCCGTTGTTTTTTTTTTTTTTCTAGCCAAGAGCAGAAGAAACGAGAAATATTTTCTCCGGAAATGTACACAAAAAAGATTTATTAGCAAAATTGATTTACAACATTCTTTGGCCAACATAATCGTTTGTTGGTTTATTTGTTCGTTTATTCGCTCTCAGCTACAAATGGCATTTTGCTGAAACTCAAAGCCACAAATGCGCACACACACACATACACACTTTCACATTTGGCCAAAATGATTCAATTCATTTGGGGTTTGACTTAGACCAATTATTGCTGTTGCTATTTTATTGCATTTTTCTCTTTCTCCGATTAAAGTCAAAGTTAGAAGGATGAAACGAATTCGAATAACCATAACCAAGCATCCAAAGCCAATGTCAATTGAATGGTGGCCCCACATGAAATATATTTTCAGATTGGGAAATTTATCCGAATTAATGATTATTAACTTTTTTATTTATATGGCTACCTTAGTGACCGCAACCAGTTGGTGAAATAAATTCGAATATTTTCTGGACCTTTTGATTGTCTTTAGAAGCTAATGTTTCGGCGACAATGAATTTTCTTAATTTTTATACCCTCCACGTTCTAATCAGCTGTTCTATAAACACTTAAATTTGGGGCCATCGTCACGTGGTCGAGGCGTTGATATATGTTAATAATAATTATTTTGGCCGGATAATTTTTCATCGAACCCCTCCTCTTCAAAAATAAAATAATAATAAAATAAAAATCTGACAATATCTTGAGAAGATCCCAATAATTGATAGGGATATTTGAAAACATAGGACTAAAAAATTTTCAAAAATCGTATTTCTCGTATAGTAGGGACAATGCCTCTGACTAGCTTCATTCTTGACTTACAAATGGGTTAAATTTTAAGAATGCTTTTCTAAGAACTTTCTGTACAAAATCCCTTAATTTTTAAGTAAATTCGAGAATTAGCGGATTTGCTAAAAACGTTTTGCGGTCTACTTTCCCAAAAACAAAAAAAAGTAAAAAATCAGTAAGCCGGGCCGAACTTTGAATACCCTCCAATATTTGAAACGAATTTGAAATTTAAAAAAAAAAATAATAAATAAATAAAATCCGTTAAAAATCTGTTTAAAATCTTAAAAGTTGCCGTTATATTGGAGTCTATACGAAGATGTGGACCTGCATAGGTAATTTTTGTCATAGGCCATTACAATACTCAAATACGAAATTTCAAATAATTTCGATGAATATTGTATATACAATCTTCAAAATACCGAATATAGGGAGGTACCGTTATATGGGGTCCGGTGAATAATGGCCTTAAAATCATCATAGTACCGAATATAGGAAGTTACCTTTATATTGGAACCTGTACGAAGATGTTGACCTGCATAGGCAATTTTCTGTCACAGGTTATAGTACTCCTGACGAAATGAATATACAAAATTTGCACCAATTCCGGTGAATAATGTAGCTGAAATCAACAAAATACCGAATATAGGAAGTTACCGTTATATAGGGCTCTATACGAAGACCTGAACCTACACAGGCAATTTTCTGTCACAGGTAATTTTTCACAGGCTGTAGTAAATTCAAATGCAAAATTTGAAACAATTCCGGTGAACAATGTCGCTAAAATCACAAAAATTCCGAATATAGGGATATACAGTTATATGGGGGCTATACCTGAAGGTGGACCTATATAGCCCATTTTCAATGCCAAAATTCCTACAGTCCAAATACACATCGGAGTGAAATTTTTTCAGCCTACATTAATTCGTTCGGAGGCTACAGCGATTTCCACAGACGGACGAACATACGGACGGATGGACATCGCTTAATCTACATAGAGTTTTATGCTGATCGAGAATATACAGGGTGAGATAAAAAAACTGCCACTAAGTCAAACGCCAAAATTTTGGAAATGAAGCGAGGAACTTCATTCTGTAACCATTCTTGGGTGGCGCGTGCTGAGTGCGATGGTGCTGAGTCCTGTTGGAATATCCAGGATCTGCGCCCAAAATGTTAGCATGCCCAAGCATATTTTCGCGATAATATTCGGTATTTATTCTGATGCCACAGTCGATTAATACGAGCGGAGAGCGACCATCGGCTCTTATGGCGGCCCACACCATAAGCATGACCGGCGCTTGAGTTCTGGTGGCCAACCGAAGTTGCATATTTTTTGCTGGCCTCTTTGCCAAGTAAACACGATCATTTTGTTTGTTAACAAACTGCTGGACAGCGAATGTTTTTTCACCGGAGAAAACCAAATTCGGCAGTAGCTCTTTCGGCCATAGCTCTTTTGAGTCTATTTTCTTCCTGTTGCGGTGTAAGTTCTAGCACTTTTTGAAACTTCGATGGCTTTACCACATGCTCATTTTTCAATATTTACCGAAGGGAATATTGTGATATGTTCAGCTTATTTATTTCGCGAACCGTTTCTGCTGATGTTGCTGCTTTCTTCCGTCTACTTATTTGACGTCGGACTACGCTACCAGTATCACGGTAACAAGCAATAGTACGATCAATCATCGTATTAGGACCTATACGAAGACCTGCATTGGCAATTTTCTGTCACAGGTTGTAGTACCCATTACGAAACTATTTTCGTACTTGTTTTCTATCCGATACATTTGAGTCGATTTCGGGTGTCGATTTGTTTAAGAAAAATTTTGGATAAGCTGAAGAGTTCGAAGGGTTTTTTTTCTAAGATTTGCAACATTCCTTCATAGGTCTAGGTTTTTGGTGCAATAGTATTTATGGTCCCTCTTCCACTTTTCAGTATTCTTATAATCACAAAATTTTTAAATCTCTCCTCTATATTCACATCTTTCAAATAAGATCGATCTCCCTTTATACATTCGAAAAATGCGACATTTTTAATATTTTTGTCCCCCTTTATTGACAACTACGACTGCAGTTCTGCCCCACCATATTTGTATAGTTGTGTAAATTAAATTAAATTAAATTTATCTGTTAATTGGTCATGTTTGCTTTAATGGCATATATTTATTTTGTAAAATAATTTTTTTTACACATTTTATTATTATTGCTTTTTGTTATGATTTCATTCTCTAAATATAAATAATGTAATTAACAAATCATTTAATAGCATAATAATATTATTATTGTTATTATTTTATTAAAAACAATTGTACAAATTAGCTTTCTACATTTTTTCACATAATAGTTTTATGCTAAGCTTTTACATTTATGCTATTTAACAATTAAAAACTATAAACTTTTATTGGTGTATTTATACATTAATTGGTTTAATGAGTTAAAAAAAATACATCCATTTCTTCTTTTTCTTACAGCCTGGACAACGACCTCGTCCTCATGATGATGGTGGCTTTAGTAGAGGAAGAACAAAGGTATGTTTTTGATTTGCCACCAAAAATAGACAACCCGAAATTTGCCCATAATTTATGTTGATAGGAAGCATCCTCCCTCCTGTCCCCTCCCCTCCCATTCCCACTCTGACCTCTGAAATATGGTTTTACATGTGAAACTAATGTCTCTAAATTAATTGGGAACTTAACTAAACAACTAATTAAAGTTTGACTATTTAGTATCTGGTAACTAACTAATTTATATTTTGTCCTGACCCTTTTGGTGGTCGGCCACCTACGCCATGGACAAACTTGTCACCCCTTTGCGACACAGTAACGGACGGGGTGGTTGGTTGACAGTCCGAATTATTGGAGCAGCTCACGTTTGCTGCGACAAACCGAAAAAATTAATTCATTTCACTGCTGGGTTAAATGTGTGAGGTATATTTACATATGTATGTGTTGGTAATTAAATCCCTTTTTGTGGTCCTTTGGCCACTGCAGGACTTTCCATTACGCTCCGTGATAATTCCCAACAATTTATTTTATTAATAACGTTGGCATCAAAGTCATGCGCATGAATAATTTCAAAACATTTACATTGTTTGTCATCAATGCCACTCAGTGGCTCGGTGGGATGCTCTGTCAAATGTGTGAGTGGTGGCCATTGTGTGTGTCTGCGTGTGTGGCAGTTGGCCGACCACTGGTCACCTATAGTTCAAACGCTCAAGCATTTCATTCAATATCATTAACCGGGGTCCACAATATTTGTCAGACACATAAATAAACGGTATTTATCAAAACTAGACAAAGGGTCAATGCGAAATGTTTAATTCAAAAGGGATGCTAAGTCTTGTACTTCTACTATTTCGAAATTGTGCTTCCTCCTTGTTGTTCTATTCAGAATTGATGTTTTAGTTTGAAATATTTGCACGAATTTAACATTTGTTAAATTCTCTTTCAACTGAGTGATGATACTTAACATTGCAGATTACTTTCTAAAAATCTTGGTCCCAATCGGTTTTGCAGATTTAGTCAACTTTTCCGTAGGCAAAATTTAAGCAATATTGCCAAATATACTGTTGTTCTTATATGAGTATCAAAATAATATATGTACCATTTTTTGCTGAGACATACATTCTAGTTCAGTAAAAAAGTCAAAATCAATTTGGCCACGTTAAAGAATTCATGCGAATTCATAAAACTTGGCGAAAGAGGGAGGGTATTATTTGTATTAAAAGCATGCCTCTAAGACGCTTCCTCGAAATTGAGTAGAGAGTGAAACTTGCCCGCTCGTGCGGGAGTACTCCAAAAATACTCTCATATCAGAGCGAGCATACTGTGCTCGTTTTCGAGTGAGAGTACAATTCGTTCGAACTCGGTCAGATTCTACTTTTTCCGAGTACGTTTTGCTTTTGGTGTAGATACCAAAAACCTAGAAATTGAAAAGTACCTTCGCCAATCTTTAAACAGGCTGTTATGAAAATTAACAAGTAAAAAAGCTGTAAATTCGGCCGGGACGAATTTTTAATACCCTCCACCATTTGGTACAAATTTGGCAATTTCCAAAAAAAAAAAAATATAATAAAATCCGTTAAAAATTCTGTTAAAATCTTAAAAATACCGAATGCTTATACGACGACGTGGACCTGCATAGGCAACTTTTGTCATAAGTTATTACAATATTTAAATGCGAAACTTGAAGAAAAATCTGTTTATTATGTAGCTAAAATCATCAAAATTCCGAATATGGGGGGTACCGTTATATGGGGGCTATACGTAGACGTGGACCTGCACAGAAAATTTTCTGGCATGGGCAGAAATATCCATTACGAACTTCACATGCGAAATTTGAAACGATTACGGTAAACAATGTCGCTAAAATCATCAAAAGGCCGAAAATCGGGGGGTACTGTATATGGGGGCTATATGAAGACGTGGACCTACATGGCCCATTTTCTGTTTTATGCTGCAGTATCTATTATGAACTTCAAATACCAAATTTGGAACAATTCCGCTAAATAATGTCGCTAAAATCATCAAAATATCGAATATCGGGGGGTACCGTTATATGGGGACAATATGAAGACGTGGACCTACATGACTCATTTTTTGACTTAGGATGTATCTATTACGAACTTCAAATACCAAATTTGAAACGATTACGGTAAACAATGTCGCTAAAATCATCAAAAGGCCGAAAATCGGGGGTACGGTATATGGGGGCTATATGAAGACGTGGACCTACATGACTCATTTTCTGTCTTAAGCTGTAGTATCCCTTAAGAACTTCAAATGCCAAATTTGAAACAATTCCGGCGAATAATGTCGCTAAAATCATCAAAATACCGAATATCGGGAGGTACCGTTATATGGGGGCTATATGATAACTTGGACCTACATGGCCCATTTACGAACTTAACCTGCCTACTGGCAAAATATACATGTGTGCAAAATTTTAGCCTTCTATCTCAATTTGTTTGAAAGATAGCGTGATTACAACAGACAGACAGACAGACTGACATACAGACACACAGACAGACGGACATGGCTAAATTGTCTTAGAATTTTACGCTGATCAAGAATATATATACTTTGTTGGGTCTGACATGAGTATTTCGAGGAGTTACAAACGGAATGACAAAATTAATATACCCTCCATAGTATGGTGGAGGGTATAAAAATTATCGTAAGGCTCCTTTATATGGAGGCTATAGGAATATGTAAACCTATTTAATTGATTATGTACCACCTCTGTCGTAGGTAGAGATACCATTTGTAACCACATACAAATTATACTTAAGTTCGATTGACAAATTGGGCTTAAGTTAACTGAATACCGAATATGGAAAGTACATGTTCTCTGGGCATACAAACTTCTAGTTCACCATGAATACGTTTGAAAATTGTGGCTAAAACGCTAAAATACCGTAATATGGAGGTAATAACAAATCCTGGACTTTTTCATACGATCTACCAAGGGAATACTTATTCATAGCGTTAAAGTTTTTCAACATACCTCATTCCGTTCGGAAACTGACCTATTTACGCAGACAAACAAGGCTAAATCGACATACAATTTTGATGAAAAATGTAATTATACATTTATATATACAGGTGTTACAAATTACCTCAAATTGGTTAAAACGATTTTAGCACAAAAATAACTTCCACCATTCGGAAGGAACTTGAACAACTAAAATAAGTAAAAAATCAGTAAATTCGGCCGGGCCGAACTTTGAATATCCTCCACAATTTAGAACGAATTTGAAAATTTTCGAAAAAGATAACATTCGCCAAAAATTCTGTTAACATTTTAAAAATACCGAATATAGCCGTTATATTAGGGCCTGTAGGACGTGCACCTACATAGGCATTGTTTGTCACAAGCCATTACCAGATTCAAATTCGAAACTTAAAATAAACGGTGAATAATGTTACCGTTATATAGGAGTTACCGTTATATAGGAGCTATACGAAGACCTGGACCAGCATAGACAATTTTCTGTCACAGGCTGTAGCATCCATTACGAAGTTCAAATAGACATCTCAAACAATTTCGGTGGGTATTGTACCTAAAATCGTCAAAATACCGAATATAAGGAGGTACTGATATATGTTGCCTATACGAAGACCTGGACCTGCATAGGCAATTTTCTTTCACGGACTGTAGTTCCCATTACGAACTCTAAATACGTAATTTGAAACTACTACGGAGAATAATGACGCTAAAATCATCAAAATACTGAATATTGGGAGGTACCGTTATATGGGGGCTATACGAAGACGTGGACCTGCATAGACAATTTCCTGTCTCAGGCTGTAGTATCTATTTCGAACTTCAAACCCCAAATTTGAAACAATTCTGGTGAATAATGTCGCTAAAATCATCAAAATACCGAATATCGGGAGGTACCGTTATATGGGGGCTATACGAAGTCGTGGATCTGCATGGGCAATTTTCTGTCACAGATGGTAGTACTCATCAGGAACTTCAAATGCCAACTTTGAAACAATTCTGGTGAATAATGTCGCTAAAATCATCAAAATACCGAATGTCGGTAGGTACCGTTATATGGAGGCTATATGAAAACGTTGGCCTACATGGCCCATTTACGACCTTAACCTGCCTACTTGCAAAATAGATGTGTGCAAAATTTTAGCCTTCTATCTCAATTCGTTCGAAAGATAGCATGATTACAACAGACAGACAGACAGACAGACGGACATGGCTAAATCGTCTTAGAATTTTACGCTGATCAAGAAAAAATATACTTTATTGGGTCTAAGATCATTATTTCGATGAGTTACAAACGGAATGACAAAATGAATATACCCTCCATAGTACGGTGGAGGGTATAAAAAATAGTCGAAAAATACCGGCTAAATGAAAACCGGTATATGATGCCGGATATAGGAAGGCGACGGCTTGCATAAGTTTTTTTTTTTATCAGAGCTATACGAAAACGTGGACCGACATAGGCCATTTACGAACTGTTACAGATAAAATACACATGTGTGCAAAATTTTAGCCTTCTATCTTACTTCGTTCGAAAGATAACGCGATTACAACAGACTGGGTAACGGACATCGCTAAATCGACTTAGAATTTTTACTGATCAAGAATATATTAACTTTGTTTGACCTGACATGAGTATTTCGAGGAATTACACAGTTAATGTACCCCCTCCATAGTGTCCACATTTCCTCAATTTTCAATGTTAAATCCTTTTTGAAAGTACATATCAAATCAAAAAAGACATCGCTGGTTTCAGTACATTTCATTACCGCTTTTTGGATAGAAATTAGTTACATTTACAAAATATTTTCCAAGATTCCTTATGGCTGAGATTCAAGAATTCCTAGACAGTCCAGCAAAGTGCTGATAGCTTCATCTCGTTGACCGCACCACAGACATTTGAATACAAAGTTATTAGGTTAAAGTGAATGACAAACATAGCCTGGGGCTTCTGTAACAACAGCGCTTAAGTACCACATTTACTGGCTACACATAAAACTAAACCAAGTTTAAATTTACAGCA